TATCAGCCCAATAACTTGTGTGGTTTTTGAAATATTCAAAAAATAAAATATTTTTCTCATTTCGGGTATATATGATTTGACCTATGTATAATATTTTAAATAGGCTTAATACTAATAAAATTAAAAACTAATAACAAATAAGTTAGATTAAGTTAGATAAGTTGATAAATTAGCTTAATTAATTGTTTTACTTGAATTAAATATCTTGTGAATTATAATCATTAGAAAATATAATTATAAATTTTAATTATAATATACAGTATTTTTCTATTTATGGTAATTTATTTTATAAAACATTGAATATAATAAAAATTTAAACGAAAGTATTTTATGCTCGATTAAATAATGTACTAATTAATATTATAATTTCGGCAAATTTATTTGAGTTAATAATTAGTATATACAAAAAATAGTCATATTAATCATTAATTATTATTATTATTGATTTTAATTATAATATGTAACTCTTACCGTTACAATATTATAATTATAAAAATGTAATCATTTTTAATTTTATCATTTTTATGTAAAATTATTATAATTTTTATTTTTACTCAATTGTAATACAGATAATTTTTAAAATAATTTATTACAACCAGTACAATTATAACAATATATAGTAAATTATTAATTACAAATTGTGTCTAGTAAAATAAACTTGAATTATTACGTATAAACAATTTAGTTTCATAATAATCACATAGAAAATTACGTTTATTTTCAACCTTACTTAAATATTCATTCGCCCATTCAGCACGTACGTGATCAATTGGTAATCGCCAATCATCTATATTATTCATCAAGTCACTTGTATTTGGACGGTGTTCATATCTGCCTTTAAGGAGGTCATCGTAAACAATATTGTGCAAGTTCCTTTCAAATTCCACTCCAATGCTGCGACTATTAAAATTAATTCTCTAATTATTTATTCTAGATAAATTTGTTATTTATTAATAATTAATAACCTATTATCGTATCTCTAAACCGAACATCATTTAAATTGTTATTTTATATTTAATAATGTTTCATTTAATAATGATAGCAAATAAAAGACCTACTTGTCATAATTCATTAAGTCAGCAATAACTTGACCAAGGGAAAATATATCTGATTTTAGGGTATAATCTCCATTCTTCGCTTCCGGTGCCATATACCTAGATGTACCTGGACAATCTGTATCATGAAGCACACTTTTGTTTTTATCGCAAATTTCAGCAAGACCAAAGTCGCCAATTTTTACGAATACCCCGTTGGCCGGCATTATATCTATCATAATATTTGTTGGTTTAAGGTCTCGATGAATAACTATATTGTCCGTGCCGGTATGTAAGTAGTGTAAACCCTGGATCAATTCTATCACTAACTCTGTGCTAATGAAATATCTAATTTTATTGTAAATTATGGCTTTTGAGGCGTTAGTGGTCAATGTTAATGTTATGTTGAGCATATCGATAACTTGTTGCATGTTCATTTCGTAAAACTCCATTTGAATGAACAAGCTCGTGCCAAATGAGTGCCAATGAGATATGTATTTCACCACAAAATCGCTAGAGTTAACGCCAACCATTGTTTGGACCTCGCTGAATAATTTGTCTAAATATGGTCGCATATGTTGAAAAGTAATGATTAACTCTCGTTTGAATATATAATTATAATATACAGTTTAATAAACATGTACATTATATTGTACATTATACTATAATGATACTATATAATTTTTCAACCTACAGTTATTTAAATGTTGCGTGTTAATTTTTTTGATTGCATACAACTGGTCATCGGTGAGGCATCTCACTTTGTCTACTATACCGTAAGCACCTTCACCAACTTTGCATACTTTTTCGAATTCATTATTCCTATTTCCGTATTCTGAAACTGTTTGACCATGGTCACTATTATCTGTTTCACTATGGTAATTTTGTTTATTGCATAATCTAGAATATCCGTGTTTAATTGAGTTCCATTTGAAATACACAATTATCATTATTGAGTAATAATAATATGAGCACGGCTAATGTTAGTATTAACACCATTAATCGATTGCTCGCTTAAATAAAATAATACATAATAATCATTTTAACATTTTAAAATAATAATACAATATATTTCAACAATCAGGCCATATTTCATTGCTAATTAGTCTCCTACAATCGGGTCACTGCATTTGCTTATTTTACCGGTTTATCTATACTTTGTACTAAAGTCGCTAATACGCGGGTCTGATCGTATTATATTGATTAATTTATTTAATTATTTTTCAAAAACCTTTATTAGAATCTGGGCTACTAGTGGTTGTTGGTATTGGCGTTGACTTGGGGATAGTTGAGCTTGACATGGTTGATGAACCATGGTTCTTTGTGCTGGGTGCCGTACTCGGTGGGGTTATCGTTGTTGGTGATGTTGTGGGCGTTGTTGGTGTGGGTGTAGTCGGTGTCACAACAGGTTTGCAGCAATACTTGCGTTGGTAATTGAGTGCCTGTTTTGCCCAACTGCCACAACGCTGCTTGTTTATTAGATTTGGGTAATCATCGGGACATATAGCATGATTAAACTCAACGCAATCTGTCCAGACACAATCTTGGCCATCTGAAACCATAATGATCGTAACCATAATGAGCGAATATAATGTGACCCTCGATATAATAGCTAGATTCATTATGGATCGCTTAGTGTATTACAGTTGTCATTGGAGGTCATTTAGAAAACTAATAAGCAAGACAAAACTAAGTCCAAATATCTTTTGACAAACTTACTTGATATGTGTTACAACAACTAAATTATTTTTTCACAAATCATTATTATTATTTTTTTTTATTATCACCTAATTATTTGGAACTGGGTGATACAGTAATCATAAATAGTTTATCATTATTAATTATATTATTTATAAATAAATTACAAATTAGTAATTTTTGCGTAATATCAAAGTTTGTGTAATACTGGCATTGAACTTTATATATTTATAACGGTAGACATATTAATTATTAATGGATACAAAAAATAATTACTTATAACAATTGTTAATCTAAATACTAATTAACCTCCCAAGGTCCCTGATACTTGACTAGTTGTCACTAGTTATATCGATAAAGCTAGTAATACTATATTAAATATTTATGAGAATTGTTTTGCAATATATTTGTTTCCCAACAAAATTGAATAAAAATCTTATGACATTATTTGTGACCTTTATCAAATTAATCGATTATTTGCGAGGTATTTAAACCTTAGTTTATATAAAAAACAAAACTTCAATATGTTTTTGAAATATTATATCAAATGAGATTGTGTGTTTCACATTATAAAACTTGTTGCAAGTATGATCAAATAAAATAAAAATTTGTTACTAACATACAATTTATTATATGGTATGTTATCAATTT